TCTATGGTCAGCTGTAGGATATGTGTTGTGTGTTGGGGTTTTTTAAGGAGCATATAAAGTGGGAGCAGAGGAGTGAAGGAGAATCCATATCAAAGAGTGAAGGAGAACTTTGCTAAACAAGTTAATTAGCAAGGATTAACACCTACAAAACCACAGACTAAGGAGAGGAAATAATCAATACATACAATCAACTGCCCCAACACAGACATAGTCAGTTGTACAAGCACCCATGTCGCAAGTTTTACTTGTTAGCAGCTTGAGGTTCAGTTCCCCCCAAACCCCTGCACCGATCTTCTTGAAACTTGGCAAGCTTTGTGGCCTCAGCAGGGGCTAGAATGCCTGCAGTTTTCACCCCCCTGTAGTGTAACACATACATGTGACATGAGTTTTGCTTTCAAGAATTTGGGGTGCATACCCCCTGAACCCCTGCACCGATCTTCTTGCAACTTGGCAGGCTTCATGCTCTCAGCAGAGGCTACAATCCCTGCAAGTTTCATCCAAAGCAGATGAAAAACAACAAAGGTATAGATATTTCATTGATTCCCCATTATACCCTATGGCCAGATCTCCGAAGCGGCTCCGAAGCTTTTTTGAAGTGGTTCGGAAGCTCCAAACTGCTTCAGAAAGCCTAAAGAAGCCAGCACTTCAATCTGGACATGCTACTGTGGACGCCAAAGCGTCTGAAGCTTCTCCAGATCTGAAGCATGGTCCGAAGCCTCGCACAGCCCTAATAATACCTTGATACTACCAGTTCCTGTGTAGAAAGGGAATGGGCAAACTCTGTTCTGCACACACCAAAAATCCCATCCAGTATACCAGAATTAGGATAAGTGATCTGTATCAGCAATGAGTGTCCCAAAGTACTCCCATCCTGCAACAGGAAACATACTGTGGGAGTGGGTAGATGAACAATTATACCATTTTAAAGGGAGAGACTTACTGCTTGTGTGTGTCAGCTGATCTGTTGTAACTATTTTCTCTGTCTAATCCTGCCCCACAGAAACTAAAACTAAACCATAATTTAGCCCTGTTTCATTCAGGGAAGTTAAGTTGGGCAGCTTATCCATTTACTGTAGGGTACGAGTGGACAGGTGGAATAGTTACAGTCGATTTTATTAAACCATGGTTAATGTCCATTTCCTTTAAAACAGTAGAACAGTAGAATTTGTCTGTCCACATCCTGTGACTCTCATACATCAAAATGTCACAAAATGTATTATTTAGGCCCCCTCTACACATTATAGGTGTTATGCAGCTAACTGGTTAATAGTGTAATTACCCGGAGTGCAGCTACATGTGCAAAGTAGCTATCACACAAGAAAAAGCTCCGACCAACTATAAAGTTAGATGTCAAAAATGTGTGCTAGCTTTATAGTTGGTTGCTATCGAGCTTTAACTGGCAGATGGAGCAGGGTCTCCCCTTTGGCTGAGAGCCCTGTCAGTTGATGGGGCTCCCAGCTACAGGGGTGCACTATGCTCAGCTTCAAACCCCTGAGTACTATGGATCATGGCAGTGATCCTTGGGGCTGGAGGATCAATTGTGCGAATTGTGCGTTAGATCCCATCGCGCCTTTGCCTGTACATGTAGAAGGGGGCCTCATGTCCATTAAAATGTCATTAAAATATACTGTGAAAACAAGGGTAAGATAAAGAATTCATAGCAGGTCATTTGTTCCATCATCCTGCCAATCCAGAATTGACCCATAGAGTACATTTGTAGTTCTTTGTCTGTTCATAAAGTGCTAATTCATTCATTTAATTCTTCTGAGAAAAAGCCTGATGTCTATTTGACACTATTAGTCATTTTCTAGTCATTCTCCCAGTTGCTGTTTCTTTTTTTCTAATGGAAGGCCAAACACATTCATTCTTATACTTTCAAAAGAAGAGGCAGATATTTATTGACTAGTGTTAATCATTGGTGGATAGTTGCTAGGTTATTTAGCACAGGTGTGTCTGTAACTGTGATACATTAGATAAATTCAATGTTCGATAGATTCGAACCCAAGCGACTGTCCACCTGTTTGGTGAGGTGTCTAGTTGTAGTTCATTTTACTGTAATATAAAACACATCGGAATATTGAGTAGCTCAAAACTTGTTTCAGGTGCCAGCTGGTTTCAGTGTTTGCTTTAGGGTTTGTCTTACACTGTCTGGTTTCTGTTTCTTTGCATGCATTTCTTTCTTGCACTTTATAAATGTGGGTCAGGCAGATTTTTTGCATGTCTAACTTGGATCTTGGGAATATTCCCCATTGGAAAGGCTATTGGAAACTAGCCACAGATACAAATTGCATAAGCACAAATCTTCATGCATATAGAATACATACATTCTGAAGTCCAAAGCAAAGATAAAGATTCAGGAAAACTTTTCTGAGAGAAAACTCCTAAACAGCTTTTGAAAATCTGATAACTATGTGGCAAAATCAAACAAAAACTTTGAATGAAGTTCTTAAAAGAGTTAGCCTACTATAACATTATATCAAGTTTTCCTGGATTTCCTGAAATAGCAAGGAAAAAAAACCTGAATTGAGAGAATAATGTCTAGTTAAATAACTTCCTTGGCAAATGTTGTCTCGTCCTGTACACATCTTTTCATCAATAACTTATGATGTCAGATTTACTAGTATTTTGTGTAATATTTCAATGCAGTTGCAACTCAAGTATTTAGTAGGTGAATTTTGAGATGTGGTGAACTTTTACTATGCAGGCCACATGATATGTTCTTTCTCCCAAACTAGATTGACATAATTCTCATAAGCTTGTTCCTATTGTAGATTTTTAATGATCAGTCAGAATGGGAAGACAATTTAGAACTTTCAACTACTTTTGATAACATTGACAAGTGGGAGCAGAATCCTTTTCACTTCATGTGCTCAAATGACACTAAAAAACAGTTTGCGATCTTACTCTGCTTGCAGTGTGGACACATTCACACCATACACAGCATGCTCAGTAGGCTATGCTTTGGCCAGGTTGTGCACACGTCCTGAAGTTTTAGCCAGTCAAAAACGCATGACTAGCAGGTGTCAGACAGAGTTGTCCCGTGCGTTGGCTCAATAGCCTGGCAGATAGAGTCCTTATTCAGGAAGCAGGAGGCCATTTTTTTCAGTGACCATGAAGTGCAAGGTGCAGTGGTTCAGGTTGAAGAGGCCCTAGAGAAGGTGCTAGTGGCCTGGTGGGTAGAGATGTGTGTAGAGAGTGGGGTCTAGAAACTGGGTGTCTTGCTTCCTGGGTGAACACCCTAAATGTGATTGTCTTTCCACATTTTAACTCAGCTACAAATTCAGGACTTATAATCAAGTTTATGCATATAGAGTCATGTACCTACCCATCAAGAACACAGCTTATGGTGCATGCTCAGCAGCTGTAGGTATGTTGGCATATTCACACTGAACATAGAATAGGATCTCAAACTGTGCGTAAATGCTGGAAAAAGCACTCATGGCTTGGTAAATGCCATGTAGACACACAAAATGAAATAGGATTCTGCTCTGGGTGTTCCTACCTATATGCATAGAAGTGTGTGTCAGGTATCCAGGTTGTAGCTGTACTGGTTTAGAGGAAAAGGACTTGTAGTAGAGGTGATATCTTTTTTTAGACCAACAAGATTTTTGCAAAAAAAAATTCTTTAATTCCAAGCTTTTGGGCACAAACCCCCTTCATCAGGCATTGGAGAACAGATTGTAAAAGTTGTCCTGGGTAGAAATGAAAGTTCATATTTCATTGGATTTCACAGAGGAATCAATAGATGGAAAACTCCTCTGGGCAGTCCGTTCATAGCTGGTATGGAGCCTCTCACCTTCTGTGAGGATCTGTGATGATGCAAATTACCTTGAAGCAGAGGCAGGAGCAGGGTTTCAAGTGGTCACAGTTGCTTCCTGCTTTGGAAAATATGAAGATTTTACTTTAAAAATAGGCTAAAAGTCGATATCTTCCATGTGTCAGGTATCCAGGTTGTAGCCATATTGGTCTAGAGGAAAAGGCAACCAGGACTCGTAGTAGAGATGATATCTTTTATTAGACCAACAAGATTTTTGCAAAAAAAATAAATTGCAAAAAAAAAAAAAAAGTGTGTGTGTTGGTTGGGATTGCCTTATTATTTATTTATGTTGGGACTAGACAAAGTTTATACTGATGGAAAAATTGGGTAATCCCCACAGATTTTCTTATATGGAGTTTCAGCTAAATTGTTTTTGTTGCCATCTCAGTTGGCAACAACCAGTTACAACCTGATTGGATGTGATGGCATAATCTGAAGTATCAGGAGCATATAGATATTTTACATCACAGTAGACATAATTCATCAATGTCCTGTTGCCAGTTAATTTGTGGAATGGTGCTGAGATGAACCTTAGTTAAATAAGAGGGACTGCTTGTAAGATACAGCAAATGAAGAAGACTCAGTACAGAAGTGGGTTTCAGCACTCTTGTCTGGAAAGAATCAGCTGAAATATTATTTTAGATCATGTAAACTAAGGTGCCTACGTTTACATCTCTTTCTTTTCTCACTTTATTTCTTTTTAAAATACTTTGTATCGGACTACATTTTAAAAACAGAGATATGGCTAAAATCCATTTCTAATAAATAGAATGACAGACTCAAATGGTCTCTGCAAGTTGCAATGTGAAGAATAGAATATTATCGATGCGCACTGACATGAAAGAGATTTTTGGAAATGAATGAGCCTGGCTGAATGGCCATTGAAGTTAAAAATCCACTGATTGCAAAGAATTGTGTATCAGACTTTATAACAGGGTTTTGCTGCATTTCTTGTTTTCTGTCATCTACTTTTGAGCTATATTTGGTTAATATGATATTTACAAATACCTCAAAACAAACTTTATTTGGACCTTATCTTTGAAACTACACATTTTACTAAAAAGGCAAGATGCAATTGAAAGTTACTTACAGTTCTTCCTTTCTCACTCTATTTCTTATTGCATTCATTTAACATTTAAACCAATGAAATACTTATAGTTATTTCTCATACTCTTATTTGTAGAACCAAGATGGATCATGTATCCAAACTATCAATCTTATTATTAATCAGGACCCCAAGAGGCAAGTGACTCTGACTAATTCTGGAGATGTTTTGGTATACGATCAGTACAAAATTAGCCTGCCTTACACGGATGGTAAGGAAAATAAGTACATAAATAAATGTCTAAGAAGCACCAAAATTAATTTTTTAAATCATATATCTGAGCTATAACATTTGCCTTGATTTCTCTTATCCTTTTGCTTTCTCAGGATATGTCTCAGTATGTGCCTGCAGTGGCACTTTCTGCTTTGATCATAGGGACTCTTCATTATGGACTTAATACTTTATGTACACAAAGACCAAGTTTACTATGTCTCTGACAGGCCTATATTATTGATCTGTTAGGTTTCTTCCTAAGAACAAAGTCCTTTTTTATGGGGATCTTGATTCCAGCTTCTCTTCCCTTCCTGTTTGCACAGAATTCAGGTCAATGTAAACTGGAATTCTCCTTTCTCTATATGCATAATATCTTAGTTCTGCTATCCAACAACGGAAGTTTTTTATTTAGTTTGGGTGTCTAATTTTCTTGTTTTAATTCAATTACTTTTGTGTTGCGAAAAGCAAGTATATTGTATTTTAAACCACATCTATGTCCTGGAAAGTTCACTGTTGACTTTACTGAAGGCAGGTTAGGCTCCAGGGAAATAGCTAATACTGTCTATACTATCTTGGGCTATGATCTGCCCACAGTCAAAATTCTGAAACATTTATGTTTTTTAAAATTATTGGATTCCACCTAGCAGTTATTATGCTGATGCCTCAGGATTTACACACCATTTGAGAGATTACTTCTAGTTTTAGTTGCTTCTTAATATTATAAACTGCATCCTAACTTTTCATGATGAATCACAATGGGAGCTCAGAATGTGGAAAATTGCAATTAACAAAACAGTCATGTAAAATGTAACGAAACAGTGAAATGAGAGCTAGAAACAAACCAGTGGATTCTTAACCTTTTTCATTTTCCATTCAACATATATATTTTTACCTCCCCTCCACCAGATTCGTTTGAAATAAGAAAGCTTTCATCTGTATTTCTGCAAATAAAGACGCACATTGGATTACAGATACTGTATGACAGAGAAGGGCTGAGGCTCTATCTTCAAGCTGATGGCCAATGGAAGGATGATACTGTGGGCCTATGTGGAACTTTCAACGGGAACATGCAGGATGATTTTCTGTATGAATCGCTACGTTTTTAAAAATATGCTTAGAGTTGGTCAGAAATACATACTGAAGACGAATGGGTGGCTACTGCAAGTGTTTCATTTTTGTACCTTTTCTTTCTTCAGAGTAATGGAGCTAATAGTTTTGGTTTGCTAGAATGAGGAATCTCTAAGATACTCTTACCAACATTAGCTTTGAAAACCTGTATGTGATAATAATTGTATATCAATTCACTAGAATATACATAGCTCTGGGGTACCAATATATATGCAAATTTGTGTCTGAAATGTGTCTGCAAGCAGGAGCATCTCACATAGGCAAGTTTCTACTTTCCTACAAACCCTCCTTTTATCTCTCTCCAGCTCATGTTCACCACTACAAGTTCTAATCTCCTTTCTCCAACAGAGTCTCTATTGTGCTGAGTCTAAAGCCTAGCAAAAAACTTCAAAATGAAATTGGCTGTGGCTTTTGCTTCACTTCACTGTAACTACAATGTAAGGCAGTAAGAGCTGCATGAGAATCTTACTGGAATTTAGGGAGTCCAGTCAGCTTCTTTCAGAAGTTTGTGTGCTGTCTTGTGGACCTAGCACAGGAAAGTAGGTTCTTGAGAAAGAAGCATCCCAGTTAGGGCTGGGAGAAGATAAAGTGGAGGAGAACACAGGAAATTAGTAAAGAGGTGGTAGAGTTAATTTAGAACATGGAGGGACATTAGATCTGTTAGAAGTGAAGAAAACCAGAAGAATTAATTCTTAAATGAAGGGGGATGTTTTCTTATTAAAGGTAGGAGGGATCTCACTCTAAATGAGATTGCTCGGGTATCAGGAGGAGAGGAGATACATTAATGCGAACTTTTCTGCAGGCATATTTAGCTAAAGATGTAATAACAGGAACAAATGAATATTTCTTCTTTTCAGCAGGGTAAATTACCCAGCTGGAACTCGGCACTAACACAGAGCGAGGACTAGCCCAGGCATCTCTAGTGTGTTGCATTATACAATTTAAACATACCCTATGAAGCAAATCAGCCTGGTTTGCTTTATCAAGAAAGCTTTCTTAAAAACTGTTATAACTTGTCAATTATGGTATGCTGTGCAACAAATCATAGTTACTATTCATTTAGGTATGTGTGTGTTGTCCTTTCCCAATCTGCATTTAAAACCATATAATGCAGTTTCCCTCAATATGTATGGTGTTGTCTGCTATACCCCAGATATTGCAGTCTTTCCACAAACAGTGCTGCATGCTTCTTAATAACAAAAATAATATAGTCTTCTCATATGTAAAGCCTCTTTTTTCCCAGAATGCAGTTCCCTCCACATATACACATGCCCCTCATGTTATCTCTTAGCCTCTCCCCATATCTAAAATGAATGGAACCCAGTTACTGCTGGCTGAGATGTCTCAAATTGCAGGTACTGTTGCTGTTTTCCCTGGACCCAGGAATATTTAGCTGCTCCTGTTACTACGCCTCTGAGACCCTTGCTTCTCAACTCATTTCTTTTTTTTTCTGGGGACCAGAGAAGCTTGAGAGGAAATTACCCAGGACCAAACCAAAAACACTATGTAGGAGAAACATGGGGAGGGAGAGGAATGGAAAAGATGTCACTTTCACAAGAGGATGGGCCAGAGGAATCATCAGAAAGAGTATGCACTCTCAGGGCAGTTCTGGTCCATCCTTCTTTCCAGTGAAAATGGTTTTAGGTCCTATTTGCTCTTTCATCTGCTGTCAGAAACCTAATGGCTTTTGGGCCCTTCTGTCTTCTTTCCCAGGCATCTTTCTGCTGTTTGGAGGGAGGTGATGAGGTCAAAAGCCACAGGCTTCTAACCTCTATCCTGGGGAATGTTCTGCAGTGGTATAGGATGACTGAACCAGCTTCATTTGCAGGATGTGGTACTGTTATGAGATCATGCTTGAATTTACAATGTTTTCAGTAAATGACCTTTTGTTTTATAAAAGATCTCCAGCAGGAGTACCGGAAAGCACTCCACAGCTGTTTGGAAACTCCTGGAAAACTTCATCAGCTTGTGCCCTTGAGCATGACAATTCACAGATGGATCCTTGTGATATTCATCTACAGGCAGGTGGGCAGTAAGGATCAATTGCTGCTTATCCAACCACAAAATCTTTAATATTACTGTAGTTCAAGTTAAATTCTGTTCTCCTAGACCAGTGGTGCTCAACCTTTTTGCCTAGTGGACCCGGATGAGCAGTGCCCAGTCTGTCCAGGGGCTGGATTGAGCTGGTGGTCCCAATTTGGCACCCTGGGTAGATGCAGTAAGGCCCATTTGACTTCGTGGAGAGAGATGGGGTGCGCTCGGCCCCAACCTGGCCATGTGAGGGAAGGGGAGTTGGAGGGGGCCTTACTTGGCCCTGATCCAACTGCGCAAATTTGAAGGGGCCTAGCCTGGCTCTTCAGAAGGAAGGGGACATAGCTGAGCCCTAGCCCAGCCTGGCTGCATGTTGGGAGCGGACAGGGCCTAATCCCAACCCAGCTGTGTGGGGGAGAGGAGGCATTGCCCTGGCCTGACCTGACCTTACAGGAAAACAGTGATATGGTCTAGCCCCAGTATGGTTGAACAGAGGGAGGGGGTGTGGCCCTGCTATGATCCATCTCATGGAGTTTGGGAATTTGGCAGCAGGGTGGAGTTGCAGGATTAATTGCCACTGCTCCCCTACTGCCAAATTTCTTGACCTGTGGGGAGTATCACAGGCCAGACACCAAAGCTTCACAGGCCACATTTAACCCACAGCCCAGCAGTTGAGCACTCTTGTCCTAGATAATGGAACGAAATGAAATAAATTGTGTGAAAATAATGGATAGGTTAAATATAACATTTGTAAAACTAAGTTTTATGTTTTGACATTAAAAAAAAATCCCCACTAGATGAGAGTGATTTAAAATGTGACCCAAAACTAAGTACATGACATGTCCTCTTTTTATTCCTACAGTTTTTTTAATGCAAAAAGCATGCAAAAATAGATTGAAGACAATAAGCCAGCAGAAATTCAGTATGCCACTGGTTTACAGCAGGGGTGTCAAAGATACAGTCCATGGGCTGGATCCAGGCCCTGGAGCCCTATCATCTGGTCTGCTATACTGACCCTGGGTCTTAGACTCAATTGACATGCCACATGCAGTGCAGGCTGGATTTGGCACGCATTGCACATGGCATTCAGGGCTGGATCTTTGTCATGCACGTGGCGAGCAGGGCCAGATTCAGCATGTGCTTCACATGGGGGGTGGGATCAGTTCCAGTGTGCAAGTGGCACATAGGGCCAGTTCTGGTGTGCAGGTGGTATGCTCACACCAGACCAGCCTTGTATGCTGGATCCAGAGCACAGAGCTGGTCTGTGGGCCTGATCTGGCCCGTGGTTCAGCTGTGTGTCACTCATTCAGCTTGCTGGGCCTGCTGAGATGTCGCTTCTGGTTTAGAGTAAAACTTGTGAAAATGTAGGCAGATAAACTTTAGAAAATATAAATAATTAAGTATTTGCTTGTCCTTGCATTATAATGGATAATTACTGGGGTTCGATCATGATTGTAACTTGGGTTCAGCTGAATGAATTTGATGCCAATTAATCATGCCATGCAGACCAAATTTTGTTACTGCACTTTTATTGAAGCCAGGCTATAGAAATATATATGTACATTTTTTGTATATTCAATTGAACCCCTCTAGTGAGTCTTTTTAGTGCTCATCTTGGATTGTAAGCTCTTCCTGATGCGGTATAGATGAAGGTATTAAGATAGGTCTACCTGATTTTTGGAATATTCAATTTTTTACTGAACCATTTGGCAGTGCTTTTTTGTCTTCATTACTGATGGCACTACCTCCACATTGGTAGCTTGAAAGCACCCTGAAATTCTGAGTAATGAATGAATTCTGAGTGGCATATGGTTCCTTCAAGTTCTTGCTGTCTGGAACAAGGTACTGGGAATTACTTAAGTGGAACAACTCTTACTATTTTGACAAGCTCATGAAAGGGCTTAATGCATGGGTTATACCTCATAGCTGTTGCTTAGTTTATCTTAATGGGCCAGTTTAATGACATAAGGTACTACCTAGGTACCAAGCACAACTGTAGACATTTCAAAATATTAACAGTTCTGTTTTTAAGTCATTCTGGGCACATCTACGCAAAACACCTTGAGGCACAGTGGGCTGTTCTATTGTGCATTAACGTGTCACAGCAAAAACAATGCTAATGCACAGTAGAATTGGTCTACTGTTCATTGTTACAAAAAAAGTTTGCCTTTTCTACTGTGCATTAGCACAGCTACTGCACATTTATCTAGTACCTCATATTAGAGGTACTAATCTTAATGTGCTGTAGCAAAGGTGCCTTAATGAACGTGTAGATGCACCCTCCTAGTACAGGTTCAAAGCCACTAACAGCTATGTCATACAGCAACATAGTTCCTATTGATCACAATGGAGGTTGCACGTATAAATCTTTTGTAAAATACAGCATGCTCATAGATCTCTTGCTATTATCATTCCAATGCACAGTAATACTTCCTCATCTAAGGAAAACATCTTAAATCTTAATATTCCTCCAAGTTTCAAGAGTCTTTGTAACTAATGTATGTTTATTTTTATGTTACTTTAACAGCCTCTTATGCAGCAGAAGCTTGTAGCATCCTTACAAAAGAACCGTTTGCTCCATGCTACTCCTATCTGAGTCCTGTTTCCTATTTTGAACAGTGTAGAAAGGACACCTGTAAATGTGGACAGATTTGTTTATGCTCTGCTTTGGCCCATTATGCTCATCAGTGCCGAAGATATGGAGTGATAATAGATTTTAGAGCTCATGTCCCAGAGTGTGGTAAGTTGTCTTTCATTTCAGACCTAATTTATTAAGGTTCATCTTTCGCTTTAGGAATGGCAGAAAACAAATTTAAGTTAAGCTGCTCATCCAATATATAGAATGCTAGGATGCATTTCCCTTTCTTGTTAAATCAGAATCCAAGCCATTATTTTTCAGAGGGTTATTTCTTGTAGCTTTTTCCCTTTTCTCCCACTAAGACATCATAATATACAGTTTTTCAAGTCTGAAAATTAAAACTGAGGTTCTTGAAAAAGGTGAGGGGACTTATTTTTATGTCTTAATATCTTAGACTGCTTTGACTTTATTCCAACTGTGTTTGTTCAGTTTACAGGCCAGATGCATAGAAGCCTGTTTTCTGTATTAAGACCATTGCTTTGTGGATTATATAGGGTTCATTTTTAAGGGATTCGCACAACAGGCTCTTTGCTTAGGTTGAAATTGAACATATCCCTACGGTCTGTTAGCTGCCCTTCTTGCTGACCTTATCCTGACTGTGAAGTACACAAAATGAGGATGTCTTCTGAAGTATTGCTAGGATTTATATATAAAAGGGGGGAGGGGGGGCATGTACACATGCACTTTACTGCAGAGTTGATTTATAAGCTTTGATATAAAGTGTCAACATCTATACATGCAATGCCAGATGGGGCTGCACCACCTTGCCTGAATGTGCTACAGTCCTTGGCACATGTGTAACTGCTGCGCCCAGGAGCGGTAAACTCCAGCATGAACTGTGCCAGAGTTTATTCAACCATGCTAATTGCCCAGAATGTATAAATATGGTGAGGTGGGATATCTTTTTCATATAGCCAAAGATACTTGATACTATATTATTTCCTTTGTTAATGCTTCACAGTACAAGTAGATCTAAGGGATCATCACTACTAATTTTAAGCTTGAGCTTTTAGTGGTACTGGGAGATGTTGATAGGGGCCTTATACAGTATTTATAACTGTATGAAACATGTATCAACCCAGTCTGACCTCCTTGCATTTAGCTTGAGCTGGAGGTTCAGTATACTCCACTATCAGAGGTGGAGGATGTTTTCACAGAATTCATGAATTCCTCTTTTCCCATGCAGTCTCCTTTTCTGCTCAACAGCTAGCTTATTTTAAATGTCTGCATCTTTGAATCTTAGAATCATAGAAAATTAGTGTTGGAAGGGACCTCAGGAGGTCATCTCATTGAACCCCCTGCTCAAAGTAGGACCATTCCCAACTAGATCATCCCAGCCAAAGCTTTGTCTAGCCAGATCTTAAAAACCTCCAAGAATAGAGCTTCTACCACCTCTCTGGGTACCCTGTTCCAGAATTCTTTCTAATATCTAACCTAACCTAATATCTAACCTAATATCTAACCTAAACTCCCCTTGCAGAAATATTAGCTGTAAGAATTTTGTATATTTTTAAAACAAATGTATGAATTAATGTGTTAATATAGTTTTATTGTAAAATATCAGCTAATCCCATTTTAGGGATTTAAAATATATTAATGTCTCCAACACCTCTTCAAAATCTGAGGTCCTTTTTCATTAATCTGTACAAGATTTGGTTGAGGAGCTGCACTAGACTGCACACTCTCAGTATGTGTCCTTGAGGGAGGGATATAAAAAAATTTGGATTGTGTCACTTAACAGCTGCAAAGCACAACATTTTATTCTATTGCTTTATTGTGTTTTCTTTAAGACACTGGACCCTCTTCAAAGCTGTCACTTTGGAGCCAAGCATTTTGTGAGTTATAGACAAAAGGCCAATTCTCTTTAGTTACACTCGTATAAATCTGGATTAACTGCATTGAATTCACTGGAGTTGCTCTGGATTTACACTTGAGTAATTTATATAGTGTGGTATCATAGTGCCAATTTTAATGGGGTTTAATGTTATTTGGATTCAAAGAATGATGTTTCATCAGAAATTTGTTACCTTAGAAAGATTTTAGAAAGTGGAGTTTGTGAGTCTCTTGCAATGTAATTTGAGAATTCTGTTTCATTTGGGTAGCTCTTTCATGTGAAGACACAAAGGAGTACAGTACTTGCATGTCTACCTGCGGACAAACTTGCCAAGCTTTGTCTATGCCAGAGACATGCAGTGGTGATTGTGTTGAAAGTTGTGCTTGCCCCCCTGGAATGTATTTGAACACCAAGACTGAAAAATGTATACAGAGGTAACTATACTTTGTAGAGCTGACATTATATCTAAGTATCATTTTATCTAGGTATATTTGTATGTTTTGGTATATGGGCTGTCGAACAATATGTACTTGTAAATCTGGCAGGCTTTTAGTATCATACAGAATTGTGTTAACTGGGAAAATTTGTGTTCTTTTCATTCTTAATCTTAGCCTAAACAAAAGGTATGAAGATATAACAGGTCCATTCTTAGACATGGTAGAATGAAGAAAAATGATGCAATTTCAAATGCATGTTTTATTATTGTTTTCATAGAATTGCATGATCATTTTTATCAATTAATTTCATGTGCCATCCTGAGAGGCCTTAATATTTCACTTGTTCTGCAGGGAGAGAATGCAGTATTTGCAGAGAATTTATTTTTCAATAAAATTCACCCTTCAGAGCATTCAGTCCTCTGAAAAGTAGTCCTTTTATGGTTCTAGATCTATAGAATGAATATCATCAAATATAAATATCTACATGCCAGCTGTTCTAGCATATCAGAGGGGCAAAAGAAGTCTCTTGGTTGTGTTAGGGGCTTTGCTCTTGCTACTGATTGTTGTATGTATGATATTTCTCTTTTGTTCTGGGGTACAGCCTTAAAGTATTGAGATGTTTTGCTACAGCTTTAGAGACATGAGTTCAAGCCCTGATGAAGTCTGCCTTTATCTACTAAGCTGTCATTCTGGCTGCTACATCAAAAATGGAGGAGTGACGTTAACCACATTGACCAGACATTGGCTACAGAAATTGTTGACTTACAGAAATCATTGGTCTATGACCATGCTAGATGTATGGGCCACTCTGCTTGAGTGTACCTTTGTCTTTCTTTTTATTATTTCTCCTTAAAATGATTTCTGATGACACTTTTGTAGAGACAGAGGGAAAGGTATATATCTGCAATAACTCTTCTGACATCAGATCAGATACTCTGGATTTACACTGATGCAATGAGAGTAATCTTGCCACATGCACTCTTCAGCATAAACAATCAATGGTAAAACTCTGTTTATTCCAGTGAAACCAGAATTTCACTCTGGGAGTAGAATAAAATAATTTCATGTGTCGTCCAAGGGACAACATTGTCCCTTCCCTATGGAGTCACAAAAAAGATATAGAACACCTCTGATGGAAAGGGGTTAAGAAAAACTAACAGAAGTCAAAGCGCAGCCATAATTTTTCATGGATCTCTGGCTGGATGCATGGAGTCTTACCTGCCATGTACTAGTTTTCTCATTACTGAAAAATCACAATTCAGAAGCCTCCTAAACATCTCTCTCGCAGGCTGTCTTCTGATGGAAACACAAAGGGGATAATTAATTTCACTTAATACAGTATTAACTAATTGCTAATTTTCCATGTGCCTATGGTACAGAGGATATGCGGTGCAGAGTAGTCCTTCCCACTGCTCCAGCTATGCTTTCTTTTCAGCTGGTTGTATAGATTACTTATGGAATGGAAAATATTGTCTTTTAATGGAAGGTTCTGTCATACTTTTTATGACAAGCTCAGCGTGGTTTTACTTTTTAAATTGTAGTACTTTAAACATATGATATATTTTTAAAATAGACTATTTAAGAATAACATATTAAATTGATGATGTTGGATTATTTTCAATCCACTGATACGACGTGAAGTTGCTACTCTAGATTTCTTTCAGATTACAATATGAATATAACAATATCCCGTTAGGTATCCAGTCTAATATTGTATGTAGAATATGAAGCTCAGTGTTTTGAATAGCAGCCATTAAAGATTAATGTGAAGTTTGGTTTCATACATAATACCATACAATCACATTTATCTGTCCTCCTCCCTTATAGGAATGAATGTCCTTGTTATTTTCAAGGAATTGACTATCCACCTGGAGAAAATATTATCACATCTTTAGGCAAATGGTAAGACACACATCTGGTTAGCTTGTTTTCTGATCAAATGTAATTTTTCTGTGCTCTCTCAAGTCATTCACATTATCCTGTTTTATCTTTGTTGGACTAGCATAGTCTAATTTTACAAAGTCCTTTTTTTTTTTTGTATCTTTGTGGCACCTCTGTGAAATCTTAGTTTCTAGAAATTCTGCCTGTTCTGATTACCCTCTACAACCTTGAGTAGAAAGTATTGCAAACTAACAGTGTAACAGCCCGTAGATGTTTTCTCTGGTTTCCCAGAGGCCTGTTCCTGATGACCTGTTTGCCCCTCCCCTGACCCCAGGGCAGGACTGTATCATTCCACCCTCTTCTCCCCCTCACATACATCATTGGGTGTGGGTCTGTGCCTGCCCAGCTGTGCCTGCCAGGCTCCTATGGCCCAGCTGCATCTGCTGTGGTAAAGGCTCCTAGGTGAGGGGTATACCAGTGCCCCCCTTAAGTCAGTCCTTGCGGCTGGGGCCCTGCTTGTCCTGCCCTAGTTACCCTATTGTTCAGTTCTGCTCTCCTGGACTCCCATTGGATTTATCCATGCCTAGATGAGGTAGAAAGGAGCATATAGTGGGATATTGTATGCTGAAGATAGTTAATCATAAATTCTAACTAATAAGCACTGAATATCTTTCACCTGCCCCAAGTCATATATCTTTCCCTCATATTCAGCACTGTTCACTCTTACCTTTTGTTTTTCCTTTTATATCTTCGCACTCACAACATTAAAGAAGAAGACTTATTAAACTTTTCATGATTTAAGTTTCTGTTCATGCTTCAAGCAGTATTTTACTCTACACTCTTTTTGCTAACTGCTGCCTCCATTTTATTTATTTTGACCTTTAAAAGCTCACTTACATTGTGATCCTGTCCCATGTTCACAATAACATCTTCTTCTATTATTCTCTATATGTTCCTGTCCAAATTAGCCAGAATGTGCATTATAATGTATTTGGATAGCTCTGTAAATATATATTGCTTCAGTTATAATAATACTATCATCAGCAGCACAGACAGAGGTATTTGACATTGTATTTGCTCTGGCTGGCTAGCAGAAGGTGTATTGGGCAGATCAGAGTTGTAGCAGAGGAGTGAGTGAATAGTACTGAAGTTCATTGGCTCATATTCTCTATTAGTAAAGCACAGTGCCTGAACTGATGCCAATACTATTATTCTTTTCTCTGAAATTGAGTTGATATCAAATTCACTACCATTCTATAAAGTACTAGATTGTTTTGGCTGGAATTAGACACAGGCAGTGACGCAGTACAGGAGGACTTCTTTGCATGCTATTTGTTGCAATGACGTTTTGGTTTAAAATAGCTAATTTGTTTTCTTTGCACCAGTCATGCCTTGCTTCAGCTATACCATATGAACGTGATAGCATAGGAGAAAACTTTCAGCTACCATTCTATATTGCTGTAGTTAGACATTTACACATCCTCAGTTTTGGTAGATGCTAATGTGTGTGATTTTTTTTTTCTTAGTAATTCTATAATTGGTTGTGTTTCTTTAGTTCTTCTGATGCTAAAATTTAAGCACAGGTGCAGTCTGTATATTTTTCCACTTCCCTCAGCAGAGGTTGTGCTGCAGAAGCTTCTATTGAGTTGCTGGCTGCCCACTCAGCTCAGCTTGAGAAGAGAAGAGGGGTTTGGGCAGTTTGGTTCAGACAGCAGCACCTGTAGCTAGGGGGTTAACAGAGCAGCTAAAACATTTTGCTACAGCTGCCTGGGTTTTCCCTGGGAAAAATACTGTACTTACCAGTATTTTCAAGGAAAGATTTTTTTTCTTAATTCTGTTTTTCAAAAACTACATTTCTTATTGGGGTTACAGGGAAGATTAAGGGGGATGGGAACATGTTGCAAAGTTCAGTATCAGTATAATTATGATACCAGTATCAAACTTTGCTTGAGATTCAGAAAAAGTGAGAGCTTCAGAACCTGTGACACTAAAAGAATGCTTGTGGTTATTAGTTTCCTCTCTAATTTTTCTTTGTGTTTGTGGTTCTTCACTGAGCTCTGGTTTAGTTACACTTAGTGGCAAGCCTGAGGAGGTGAAATGTAGTCATATTTTTTGCTCAGCTTGTATCTTTACCATGTGGCATTGGCAGACCTCTTGAGCTCCCTTTAGCATCATCTGTGTTTTCTTAGGGTGACCTAGCCTGCTCCTTGGTCACCTAAATTGTGATTTAATAGAGTGGAATACCAACTAAAACATTTTTTCAAAAGTTACAGGTTACTTCATTCACTAAGAGGAAACTTAGAATTGAAATTTGTGGTAAATACTTTGTTACAGCTCTGTGTGCGCGTATTTTTTTAAAATTATTGTAAGATACTAGAAATTTTGTTTTGCATACAGAGCCTACTCTAGGGCCCCTTATAGCCAGCGGTAAAACTCCTAGTGATATCAGGAGGAGAAATATTGGATCTAGCCATGTATTAACATATTTTGTATATTTTGTGTTGGTTCAAGAGCCCTAATCTTTAATTTAGCATTTGCACAAGGACCAATTCTACTCTTCATATATAAGGAGCAAGGTAAGCTGCAACTGTATTGATACTCTGCACTGAGAAAAACAGCAATTGTTTTTCCCTTATTGGTTGTGTTCAATTTGCATGGTTTTCTGCATTAATATGTTTAAACAGTCATCCAATAGTAGCATTTCAGACTCCCCTGACTTTAAATACAGCTTCACATATTTTTCTTGCAGCCATTGCAGAGATGGAATTATGAGTTGTGAGGATAACAACATTGGTAAGTAAAGAGTCAAATGAAAAATAACCTCACATGTTAATTTATAGAAAGGAAATCATGTAGAGAGACCCTCTTCTCTTTATGCAGTCTCATTGCTAATGGTAAAACTTTGTGTGGGGACAGGAATCCCTATAAGACTGCAGTCTTACTGATAGTTTAACCTGTGGTTTAATTAAAAGTAGGATGAGAGTAAAGCAGTATCAACTCTCATAACAATACTGGCTACCTGTAAGCAATTATATTATCAACGTTTTATAACTGCAGTATGTTTTCAGAATGATAATGTTACCCAAGTTTATTGTGAAACATAACCAGTGGATCTCCCAAGAAACAAACTAAAGACAATTCTGTCTCTCAAAACAACCTTTTAAAATGTAACATATACAATATTCTGTCACATAAAATTTTAGTTTCTTGTAACAAATATAAAATTTCAGGAATGATGAATAATTGTTTTATTTTGTTTTCCAGTGCATAATTGCCCAGCTGGTCAGATTTATGTTAACTGTAGTGATCCACAGGTTAATATTGAACTTAGCAGGGAGAGAACCTGTGAGAATCAGCTACTAAACCTCACCATCTCAGCACATCTTCCTTGCGTTTCAGGATGTGCCTGCCCACAAGGGTAAGTCTAAAGCATCTCTACCTTTTAATGTACAAGTATAGATGGTCAGGAGTGACTGACTAGCTAGTTGGTTTATGTGGTATATATTACTACTGTAGTGGTGAAAAGCATACTCTTTTCTACTAAAAGAAGCTGAGATGTGAAGGGGGAAGAAATTCTCTCCCTCTGTGTTCACCACACAAAGGCACAATCCTCTAGAGGCCAGTGAAGCAAGGGAGGAAACTGTAAAGATCAGATAGTGTCAAAGGTCTAAGATCATATAAGGACAAAAGCTTTCAGAGTTTTACAGGGTCTGTACTGATAGTGCACATAAAAATGCATTGGATTTTTTGGAGCTAAACATTGTGTGCTGGTGTGAAAGAGAAACATGTTATAAATTCAAAAGATGAGTTTTCCAAGTGTAAAAATGGGACCTAAGTGCTCAAACCCTTTTGGTTTTCCATGAGTTAGGTAATTCAGTCCTTTAGGCTTGATTCTTTGGAGGAAGATATTCACTAACTACCATGTATAGTTAATGGTAGCTAGTGGTAGTCAATGTTAGTTAAAAATTCTCCCAAAGTGTACCATATGACTAGGTCCTCAGTGTAAGTGAATGAATAGAACTTCACTGAAGTCATTGGAGACACACTAGTTTACATCTAGCTGTCTTATTCTATTGTGTTCATCTGCTTTTACTTTTTACCTTAAAAAGTATAAAACATTAATTGTGAAACTTCTTAGTTTGTATGAAGACCATCATTCATTCCAGTTGCAAGTCTGGTAACATGGGTTGCATTTCTATGTGCAATTTAATGCAAAGCAATAAATTCCAGAGTGGTTTGAGCTGGAGTAAACTACTCCCTGGCACATCATCTACCCAGGTGCTCAAGACAGCAACAATTTGAGCTGGGGTGGAGACGGTCTAGGCTGGCAGGGTACATGGGGGTCAACCCCAGCTGGTGGTGGAGGATGGCAGAGGGGCTGGTTGGGGCATGAGGGTGCCAAAAGTGCAGAGCCTTGTGGCTAGGTGGTAGGCAGGACTCTTCGCCATGGCTGGTTGGGCTGACTGAGTGCACTTGATATCTGTGGTCAGCATCTACATGTATGTTTAATTGCAGTAAATTACTCCTGCATAAGATAGTACTGTCTCTGGTGTAAATTAGTTTACTGTGGCCTAATACACATATAGACGGTGACACTTTACTCTGCAGCTAATTAGTTTACTCTGCAGAAAAACACGTGTAGATGCAGCCATAGTGACTACAGGCAGAATCCTATTTCTCTTTCCATGCCCAAATGGCAGTTACCCAGCTGCATAACTCCTATTTGTGGAACATGCATACAGTGTGCAATCCTACCCAATGTGTAGTGCAGCTGTATAAGCTTCTGCCTGGCTACTGAGTGTGTACAGTATGCTGCACTCAAGCTGTGCAGGTGTATGACTCTGTGTGTATAGGCTGGGTGAGCATAAGTCACAAAACTGTATCTGACAAAAACCCATGGCCATAGGGTATTAGATGCAGCAGGAGGAAAAGGGGAGGTCCTTCCATGTTTTTGCTTAATAGCCTAATGCAGGGGCTGGTAACCGTTTGCAAATAAGGGCTGCACTTTGCAGCCTAGCCCTCTCTGTGGGCCACACAGAGCAGCCACCTGCCTGCACTTAGCTTTGTCCTTGGTCTCCATCCTCTCTGCAGTGAGGGTAAGCACAGAAGCAGTGTGGCAGCAAACTCCACAGTGGAGTGGGCTCTGCAGAAGAATTGGGAGACACAGTACAGCTGCATGCCACTGATCCCTTGGCCAGATCGAACCTCTCCATGGGCCTGATCTGGTCTGCTGGCTGTTGACTGCCAACCCTTGGTCTAGTGGCTAGGACATTTGCTGAGGTAGTGGAAGACTGAGGCCTCCCTCACTCAAGAGTTTGAACCTATATCCCTCTGACTTTCCAGCATGGTACAGTTAGGTACTGCCAGACTACCACTTAGGCAATATCCAGTCCTTTCTCTAGCTCATCTCTTGAATCATTTTTATATTTATTGGGCTAAGTAGATGAAGAGCAATAGGTTTCCTACCCTATTTGAAACAAGGGTCTGGGCTACAGTTCAGGATCCCCTTCCTTCCAGAGCAGTATCAGTCTTATTGAGCCACATACCTTCTAACTTGCTCTCTTCCTTGTGGCTCCATACCTCTCCCTCTCTTGGCGTCTCAGCAGACCAGCTATGATGGGAAGTAGGCTTAAACCCCCCCTGGATGAATGGGGCTCACAGCATTGAATTAGACAGTCACAGGTAGTGCCACATAAAATGAAAATACTCACAAAATGAAGAAAGTTTAACAGGTAACACTTAACCTTTTTTCTTTGAGGGAATCATTGGTATTTGGAATGTTTTTACCTTACAGAGGCAGACAAGTATATTTGGGTAAATGTGGTATCTTTTATTAGACCAACTAAATAGTTGGAAAAATAGTTCTTTACATGTGTTCAGGCACAAACATCCTTCTTTAGGTGTATGGAGAGTCTGCTGGTGTTTACGTACTCTCCTGGGTGAAATAGAATCTGAAGCCAATCCAAAGGCAAGTCTGTGAAAATGCAAATACTTGGAAGGGAAGATTGGGGGTGGGGTGGCGGGGGCACAAAACTGGGGAACGTTGACCAGAGCTAAAATGTAGCTGGCAAAATATAGAAAGGTTACCTGGGATTATTGGACGGCAGGCAGGTTATAATGAGACATAAATCCACTGTCTACATTTAGTCCATTATTTTTTGTATCCAGTAGATTTGTGAAGTGAAGTGAAGTTTATAGGCTCATCTACAAAAGGTGTTTTGTACATTACCTTTGAGGATTAGAACTGAGAGATTGGAGAGAGAGTGGTTGTCTTGTGACAAATGTGCCCCCACAGGTAACTGGGTATTTTTGTCTTTGATTAGATTTTGGGTGTGCGTTCATTATGGGGCACAGTTGTTGTTTGGGTTCTACTATATAGTTTCCATTGGGGCATTTAGTGCAGAATTACTATATAAAAGTTTTTGCCTTGTAAAAGTACAATGTATAAATGAATTCATATACCTCAAAACAACTAATTGCTAAATTGGAGATCAAGAATAACTCTTTTGTGGTATATTTTGCGGTTACCATTCATAGGGTTTCTTTAGAATGCCAAATCCAGTCCTGAACTTGGAATATTCTCTAGTGCAGGAGACCAAAGGGGAAGAGTATGGTACACCTTAGTAGTAATGCAGCTAGTCATATTTTGACCTTGTAAAGTGATCAAATGGATGTTAATGGCACAAAGACCATAGGTATCAGAAGTAGGTACAGCTTGGAAAGGATTTGTACATAATAAAAATCCCTAAGCAAGGGGACTATGGAATAGAAAAACAAAGCATACCTACGACACCCTGGAAGAATGTCTAATTTATTTTTTCTTAATTTATAAATACAGTAACCTGCCCTACATAAATGTTATAATAGTATAAATAGTATAATAGCATAGTATGATATGATAGTATTCTTTCACAATCCAGGAATTAAGTAAATGCAAGAATATAAGCATTTCACTATGAAAAAAATAAATATGTGAGGGTCTGTCTGTCTTTTTCTTTCCTTTAGAGTAACTGTATTGATAGCCAAGTTAATTCCAAACAATTGGTAGGATTTTTCCCAAAGTTCTGTATATTTTGTTTAAAGTTGTTATTTTAGTTCTTAAATATGAGAAATTTGCTATAGATAAGGAAAGGAGACTGCACAAGGTTGAAGTAATAAGGGATTTCTATTAAATACCTTCCATTGAGATAATAATCTGCTAATTGGTTCAGTAATCTCACATCACTCATCTCATTTTATATTAATACCATATTTGTTACATTGCAGACACACACAGAAATTTATATTGCACCAGATTTACTTTAAAAAAAACCTTTGCTTTTGTTTATTTTCTTACATAAATTCATGCTTCTGCTACCTACTGGTATTCTCTGTGGCATTTCTTTGCAGCATTTTATGATTTATGCATGAGTTGTCATTGATTTATAAGAGCAATAAAATATGTAAACCCAAAGGTGAAAAATAATGGTGCATCTCAAATGGCATGGTTTAGCATGTCAACTATAATGCCATGTTGCATCACTCCCACATAGTCTCCATTTTTCAATGTATTCTGCATTTTTGTATATTAACTCAAGCTATTTGAATGCCAATCATGTCTGATGTTTCTCTTTTATGTTTCTCTGAAAGGACCAAATACTCCACATGCATATGAGCATTCATAGTTGGGTATCACTTTAGAAAAGATGTTTTTAAGATTTTTTTTTTTTATAAGTCTTCATATATCAAAAGAAGGACCAAATATGAGATATTTTCCTATTCTTCTTCTATTGTTTTCTTGAGACCTCTGAATCTTACTGTAACTATGACAGCATATTAAAGTCATAGACTCTAGTAGATGTGAAATCTCTAATTCTATTACTGTAATGTAGCTAGAGCTGATTGAACACTTTAGTTACTGAAAATTCAAACCTAATGCTTATGTTATGACTTGGTACATCTAGGTGTATAATGTGGTAGACATTATATACCTAGATTTCCAGAAGGCTTTTGATCTAGTATCTCACAATATCCTTGTGGGAAAAATGGAAGATTGTGGGCCCAACTGCTCAACAGTTTAGTGGGTGGGAAACTGGCTACATGGTAAGACTCGGGGAGTTTTCATGAACGGATCTGGGTTGTCCTGGCGCAGAGTGGCCAGTGGTGTCCCTCAGGGGTCCATGCTTTGACCAGTGCTTTTCCCCATCTTTTATAAATGATTTGGATGGGGGAGTGAAAAGTTTGCTGGCCAAGTTTGTGGACAACACCAAGTTATGGGGCAGTGTGGTCATGCCAGATGATAGGTTGCAGATACAGGTGGACCTGGACAGGCTTGAGAATTGGACAGACTGGAACCAGATGAAGTTTAACACTTCCAAGCGTAAGGTGCTCCATCTGAGGGCAAACAACCACCAGCGTACATATAGGCTCGGTGGTGAC